TCGGGCGACTCATGTCGTGTGGACAGTATCACATTGTACTGCTTTGGTTTCTTGAAGTGTACCTTCAGAGTCCTGGCTGCAATAATTCTAAATTTAAAAGCATAGATTTAACCAAGAAATTCTTTAAAACAAAACACGACTACATTACAATTCATTTTCAAGACGCCTCTTTAGTAAACTAAATATTAATGACGCTATATTACTATCCATTAATTTAGATATTTAAATACTTTAATACGCGACTGGTACACGATTAAATAAAACACTTTAACGGTTTAGATTTCGATATATATAAATTAAACGTTATTGAAAATTGTTTCAACTTGGCCCGACGTTACGTACGCTTCTCAGCAGCCGTGGTCACGGGGAGACTAGATAATAAATGTAATTAATGTATATCTCGTTTAAAACCGTTAAATTGTTTTATTTAAACTAAGATATTTCTTCAACTCTTCAATCTGAAAACATTAAATGTCCGATCAAATAATAATCGCAGAATACATTAAAGAACTGAACAAAGAACTAGTTAATATTTGTCTGGTATATCAATTAGTGTCTGGCAAACATTTAAAGGTCACTCTTGTGCACTAACCTAGTCCAATTGGAGGTCAGTTTCTTAGAACGCTTCCAGGCATACCTACTCAATTACACACGACTGTAATAGCACTTCGGATTTATGGATGATAATTTAATTACATGATCATAAACAAGATCATTTTATGAACGAATGATAATTTTTACTAGTTTAGCAGTTTTATATATAACTTCACAAAAACTACACTAGTTTTGAAGCAAATTCATATAAATAATGGTCATTATTAGCCGTACATCCATTTTGTGTGCGGCATGGAACGAATAAAATTTTTAAATTTTAGTGATGCATTCTATTTAACGGTAACAAGTTGATCAGATTAAAATAATTCATCTTCTACAACGAATTCGAACCCAAGTCGTGCTGCACGCAATCTTAGACAAAGCGTTTAACGATTCCACTACGGAATCTAAGTTGACCAGTAGTGTAGTAGAATTCTGGAGTTTTCAGGTTATGAGGGTAGATAAAAAAAAATATTTCTTAATTTTGTAGTAACATTTTAGTCAAGAAACATGAATATTAATAAAAGCTCAAATATTTAAAAGGCAAATGTTTCGAAGATCATCGTCCTTTCGGTCATAAACTGTCGTTAGTCATTTGCATATAATGCACTAAAATCTCCACGGCATGGCATATTTATTAAATATTAATCAAGACTACATTGTAAATGTTGGCCGCCAGATTTATATGCTGTAAATAACATTACAACATTAATTATGTTTAAGTTGAATGAGTATTCTCGTTTATATGAATTTCATCCAGACGTTGCTAAACAAAGAATTATTCTTTAATTTTAGTTTATTAATTTCACACATTTAACATTTATGATTAAAATGTTTACATAAGACATTATTAACTTAAAACAAATAGTTCTCTTATTTCTTTCCTTTTGACACAACTGGTACATAAATTCACGACATTTTAAAACAATGGACTGATACAATTTCTGAGTCTTATTAATTCATTCAGTTCTATAAATAATTTTTAAATGTTTCATCGAGTTTAGGCAATTTGATAAATGTATTGTATAAAACACTTCGAAACAGTTTAAAACGTGAAATATTTTCACGAAATGTTCCACGTGCCCACGGATGCTGTACAGCATCCGAAACGTCGGGCCATTGTTAAAAGAAATTAAAAATTAAATATGCGTCCAGTTTTATAATAAGCTAAACTCGCTTTGTGAATTATTAATACATTTGGTTATTCTGCTTAATCAATAGCATTTATATAATAAAGTATATTACGAGACATAATAATTAACTTCAGAGATATAGGGGATTACAGCTACTTAAAATCTCTTATCTTGGAACACGAATATTAATCGTTCATAGGATATATAATTATATACATAAGCAAGCTTACATAATACGGTTCGGAACACACTGAGAAATTTTTAATAGTTGATAAACTGTTGTATAGTTCGCTCTCGGTTAAATGAGACAATTTTAATTCATCACGAGTTAAATAAAACACTTAACGACTTTAAACGCAAAATATATTAGTGAACTTATTTTTATATTAACAGCAGCTGTGGCCACGGGGGACTGAAGATGGAGGAGAACCCTAATGTCAAAGTCAAATTTTCTACGCTAGCCCTATCTATTTTCTGTGTCATTTATTTAACAGCAGTTTATATTTTATGCTAAACATACAGATAAACAGAATTACATATTAAGATATTCAAACAAAATATTCCTCAGTGCGTCATCGCCCTTATTAATTTACCGCAGAGCTGAAATGTGGTATTGGGGGAATGATTTATTTAACATATCTTCGAAATTCATGTTAAAATGATTTAGTTATGTTAATCAGTTTCAAATGCGATACGCCGACGAGGTAATTATAACATTAATAAATATCATGAATTATATTTAAGTTAACACAGGCTAATGGTAGCATTGTATGGCTAACAAACAACAGGTCCTGGGTTCACTTCCAATATGTTTCTAAAATTTATAACTAAACATTGTCTGCAGTTTACGCGAGTCGTACACACCAAATTAAACACGTTTAGCGGCTTTAAACGCGAAATATATTCGTAAATTACTTACACTTTATTTTCACTAGCCACGTACGACATTATATTGAACATTGTCTCGTTTTAAACCGTTCAAATTGTTTAATTTTTATTTTGAACATGTTAGACTTTATCAGGAATGTTAGCCTATATAGATATATATTTTTCAGAATATAAATAGGTCGATAACGCATCTAGTTTAGATCAAACGACATATTGTGTAATATACCATCAAATCTGTATTGCTTGTAAAACCATAAAGAAGAACGAGACAAAAACTGTTGTGCATTCAAATAATTCCTTTCTCAGCCATAAAACCAGGTTGTGTAGGGTTATTCAACTAGTTCCCTTAAACTCACCTATGCATAACCTGATCCATCAAGTCAGAATGACTCACCCTTTCGGATATTTTATGTTGCCCCAGGTAGGAAGAATTTGAATAAAAAATGGACAGGTACCGCTGCATCCCGAGCGTCTCGATTATAGATATGACTTTTGAAATATTAATTCGAAAACGAACGACAAAGACGAAGTACTTTAACTGTTCGAAAAAAAATTAATAAGTTTATAACATTTACTAGGATTCCGTAACCCAAGAGGAAAAAATAAAACTTTGCTGTATGCCTGTTACCAGGTTACATATAAAGAAACGCGATAGACATTTTATATATAGGGGTATAATATATAACACAGACACTTATTATACATGAGGCTGCTAGAGGCAGAGTGGGCTTATATAAAAAAAAAACATGATTTTCAATGAGGAAAATAAAAATGCGCAATTCACTTACGCGAAAATGAATTTGTATAAGAATTATGTAACAATTCTCAGTCACTGTGCTCTTTTACTTTAGACTATGAAAATATAAAGAACTCAAGTCAAGTAAAATTGCAGTTAGAGAATAGCCTAGCTTCTAGCGGCCTTATGTTATACCAAAACATTAAGACGACCATATGGCTAAGTTTAGCATATTTTCGCTCAATATCAAAAAATGGTAATATGAGAGAACTAAAAGAAAGTACGGAGGTACGGAACCCTTCGCACGAGATTACGACTCCCACTTATTTATTACAAGTAAATTGACTACTTCAAATATACAAATGAGTAATTTAAGCGAGATGTACATTAAACTAAGAGAATGTCTCTTAGTTTAATGTACATCTCGCGAGACCGTTAAAAACTCCATATTAAAACCCTGCTCAACGTCTATATTTAAGTTTTGAATAACAAAAAACCCACTACCATGTTTAACCCGCTCTGAGACGCAATAAAGGTAGTGCCTACGTTCTTTTGTTTACTGAAATAAATATGCAAATTGCTTGTTAATGACAGCACATTGTAATTTCAAGCATGGCCGACTTATCACAGTTCCCAGAGGTCAACGGCTTAGCTGCCCGACTGCGCGTCAAAAGGTTGTTTATGTTTTACCCCGGTGGGTGGACCCAACCTCGAGTGTCTCTCGAATGATGCGTTCGAGATTTCGATCCTTCAGTTCAGATTAATCCCCATGGCCGAGGTAAAGCGGATCTCATAACGCATCGCATGCCAACAGAACTCGGTTTCGATGTAGTTCGGTACATCTACTTAATCAAAAAATACAAACAATTGGATCTATTATTTTAACTCTTTATCCTCCATGCCGTTTCTCAACAACAGGCAGGCTGGTGATCCTTCTGTGCCCTATTCAACCTAAACAAACATGTCAGTGTCGGAACCCAGGACCTATCCGACCGACTGAACGATACAAGAGAGAATAAATTCGAATTTTGAATTTCGAATGGAGCATTTGTATCGTGTGCGCGCTCTGGGAATGCACACAAAGATTGATGTACAAAGTGACTTATTTACGTCGCACATAAAAGTCCGACGCGATGCGTCCACCGTCCGCACCGACGCGACGCGCCTACCGCTTAGATAAAAACATGAATTATTATTATTATCCGGTCACGTTTCTACGAAAACAAACCGTCACGTAATTCAAAGCAGAGCCCCGGCTAATGTCCCATCGGTCACAATGCTACACGATCGCCACATAAAAATATCTAATAACGCCTCTTTACGCTCGCGATAAAACATTGCCATCCCAAATTGTGACGTTTTATTATTAGAAATACGATTTTGACAGTCGTAAACGAGCGTCGAACCAGTTATTATATCGGGTTTACGAGTAGAAATATCGCAATACGCGCCGAGGAATATAAAGGGGAAAAATTATTTGTGTATTACGGCGAGAGTAAAATTTCAAAATGGCTCCACACTATACGGGCGTGCAATGTGCAGTTCCGATTTCCGCGTCGAAATAGAACCAATGTCATTGCCGTCCTCGTAGTGGGGTGACACGGAGTCGATAATTTTTAAAATAGCAAAGGCGCGTCGCCGTAGACGGTTCAACTCGTGGTGGTCGCAGCGCCTGAGTCACGTTTTTTCATCTGTGACGCAGTTTTTCCTGTCGCCCGCTGCGTACGGCCGTGACATTTGGTGTCTGACCGATTGTACGGCCTTCGCTGGCGGTCATCAACTCCGCGCGTGAGTCGGAACATTACTTTGTGCCGAGTTTTCACCGGCCGATCTCGCGTCTCGCTCGCTCCACGGCGAAGCGAGGAGATAACGTTCGTTACAAGTTTTTCGTGCTCAGCTAGACAGGTAAATACATTGTACCTATTGTGATGTTAATATTTGAACGTCGGTTCAGCGATTCAAATAACGACCGCGGGGTTCAAGTGAGTGCGTGGAGTCGCGGAAATTTTTAATCTCGACAATCGCGATTGATCTCTCGCCACGTGGAGCGCCAGGAAATCACGTAGTCCAAACTTTATATTCAATTACTCTATTGCTCAACTGACATCCTGTTTTTGGTAGTTTCGTGTCTGGCTTCCGTTCGGGCATAAATCACCGGCTTTCTCATTTCGTATCAATCAAACGCTTACAAATTCGAGGTTTCTTAATGGCTTGTCTAAACACGACCACACATCTCGAGCGAAGCCATTAGAAGTGTGAAGTTCTGATGTAAAGTTGGAACATAAAGGCTGCTGCAACTGCGTCTGGTAATAACTAATAACGTAAGTGGTAATAGTTTAGGAGACCGCACTGCCTCTAATATCGTTTTCGTTAACACAACGATCCAGAACATAAATTACTTGTGTATAATGCTAGGGTTGTCAAAATTTCTTGTCGAAATATAATAAGTATTTTTTAAATCGGGCCTACTGCGTATTATATATTATTTGAAAAACGAAAATAATCGTCAGCGTTCTGTACTGTTATATAGTGGCATCATGTGAAAAATATTAAAATTTTCAAATATAGTACTTTGCGAAAAATTCTTTAAACGAGACTCTTAAGGTTATATAGTAAAGAACAAGGATTTGTTTGGTTGATTTAGGCGTCGAAAAGATCGTATTATTCCGTTCTATATAGTACTTCCTGTTAATATAAACATAACATATTACATACACATTTAAATTACTAATCAAATTTAAGCACCAAACAATATATAATACAGCTGGCAACCCCATTATGTGTATCTAGAAGGAAATGTATAAATAAAACAAAAAATTTCCATTGACAATAACAAACGGACAAAAACAGCCGGAAAGCTGACGATGCCGGTTCAAGTCCCGCCCGGGCCGCAAAATTTTTTTTTTTTAATTTCCATTTTTAAGACAATAACAATACGGGTTTAAATTCCTCCATCTTTTTTCTTTGTTTGCTTATATTGTAGTTCTATTAGTCAATAAATGTTAGTTTATTTATAATGACTACTCGAAGTATCCAGTTTTGCCTTCTTGACTCGTTTGTATCGGGAAAACAAAAGCGGGATAATAGATCATTTGATTGATTTTCAGGAGTTATCCAAATGTTTTAAAAAGTAAGGAAGGCATGTATACAGCAGCTAAACGTTAGCAGAATGATCAACGAGGAAGTAGGTTTGTCTCACCAAGGTTAGCAGTGAAGGCAGTTCGCATAGTTGGGAAATATTTCTCATTGCTATGCGCCGTTTGATCGGGCATACTAGCATTGTTGCGTCGTTATCTCAATGTTGTAACTTAACATACTTTTACACTACGCTATGCCGTACTGAGGTCGCTGTTAAGAGTCGAAGGGCGACTTTGTCTGTTACATTTTTTTTCTTTTTTGAAAGAGCTACCTACACAATGCCTTCAGCCATAATATGAAACAAGATTTGCTTTCGACCAGTTTTGTCTTTTTGCTATTCGGAAACGCGATTAAACTTCGCGTCTTTTTCATCTGTGGTTCGTGAAGTAATTTCAATATTCCTACGACCCGTTTAATATCCAGATTTCCAGACGAAGTCAATATGTTTCAGAAAAAATAGAAATTTGTTTGAAAAATTTTTGGACTCGGTGGGGATCGAATCAATGACCGTTGACGTTATTCGCTACCATTACACCATCGAGGTGGTCAAAATTTAGATTGATTAGAATAAAATTGTAATCGTAAGTATTATTTCGTTTCCAAATAAATTGTTTTAAACAAAAACAGATTTTTGGCAAAACTGCATATGCGCACTTGGAAAACAGATCTTCAAAAAGAAATGTAAATACAACGTTTCGTAAATTTTTTTAACAGTCCAGTGCTTTCCCAGGATTTTAATTTAGGCCCTCTCGTGTATCAAACATCCACGCTTCGTTCACAAGCTAGATCAGTAACGATTTAGTTGGTTGAATCATATTGAACGAGTCACAGAATTCTTTGTTTTGCCTTCAAGAGCGCTGTTGATTCACAACGTCAGAACAAAGATCCGAATCTTTGTTCTAAAACAACTACGATTAAGTGGATAGATCCAAAATCTAAACGCAACTGGCTTATTATTACTGGTTCGAATTAAAAAAATCTTAACTAATGTCCCTGACAGTATATGTCTATCTATTAAGATTAACTTCTACGCGGACAAAGTAGCTGGCACAGCTAGTTAATATATAGATAGTATACATGTACACTTATACTTCATAACGTGACATTGTAAAAAGATAAGCTTTAAAAACATCCCCTCGTTTGTGGCAAGTCGGATATAACCTAATCGTTACATTTCTCAGTCAGTCGGACTTGGTAAAGACCGTTTCAAAAACAGATAAAGACAGACAGGCGGGTCACCCCAACGCACTATATATAATTGAATGATTGCCAGTAATTACCCAGACCCTTTGCTGAATGTCTGAGGATGTGGTTTAACGGCCACTCATGGGAAATGTCCATAGGAACTCCGCTCGGTGGCTAATTACCATGGGTCGTATAATGTGATATTTTCCATCAGCCACGCCATTTTATAGGACTAGCTGTTACATACGACGTCGAGCGTACGGTCGATATTAAAAGATAGACATATAGTGTCGCCGATATTTTTTTTAGATTATTTAAAGAAGAATTCGCTAGCGTTTTTTCCACATTTCCCCCTGTTTGTTCGCTCTTTATTGAACTAAGCCTGACGTTTAGGTCGTCGTGGGTTCGATCCCCACCGGCTCCAACATGGTTCTCTCAATTTATATATTTTTTAAACTTGTTGGACTGGGCATCTAGGTATTAAATGAGTGGGAGAAATGTTGAAATTCTGCCCTGGACACGAACCATGCACAGACGAAAATGCCGTGAAGCATAATGGCGCTTCGGTTTCAGTCTGTGGATTTCCGAATATCCGAAGTCATAATAGGTCGATAGCGCAACTTGTTTAGATATTATATAGCTGGAGTAATTTGCTTCTCTATCATGAACACAAAAATTGATTTCTTTCAACATGATGAATCGTGAGCCGCCGCCACTTAATAACTATGTAATAATGCAAAATATTCCGATCGACCTACGCTCAGACAAAACTGGTTCACATTATCTATATCAGGCGAAAAGGCAGCCAATAAAAGTGCACCATTAAAATCGCGAAACGAAAATGTCACAATGAATCATTGTGGAAGGTCAGTAACACCGATCTGGCAGCCCGCCGAGAGCGATCCGGACTCGAACTCGCGTCCCCTAGCGCGGTCAATGGAAATGCCACTTAACCTTTTAACCTTGAGAGTCCAATTTACAACGAAACATGTAGATACGCGTCATTTGAGAAGTTATTGGGCGTTTTATCGTGAAAACGACTATTTGTTATTCGATAGGGTTCTGCTACTTAACTACCGACTACCCATAATGTTTTGGAGATATTTGAAGCTATTAATATTTGAATATAAATAGATTTTAGAGATAAGTATACGGTCTCGCTTTTGTAGCTAAATGGTAATACGTGTTGCCTAATTGCGTTAAGTGCCAGATTTCCTGGGATCGAATCCCGGGAAAACAATAGATTGTTTCGGTCGGACATGGCACAGGAATGTATTTGCCCCAAGCCCCGAGGGAAAATGGGGATTTTAATTTTTTACTGGCATATAGATTACAGATTAAGTACCTTAGCAAATGTTTTAAGTAACAAATAATACACTCTCTTGCATATAAACAGGTTACTTTTTAAAAGCGAGTTAAGATATTGTACGTTGTGATTTGTTCATAGAAGACTGATCTACATAAGCTATGAAAATTAGCTTTTCCATGTCGTAAAAATACCAAATGTAAATAATAAAACTAAGTTTTTTTTTTATACCATCGCTTAGCGAATAGGATACAAAACGCGACTGGCCGAATTTTATTTTTCCGTCGCAAAAAAATCTTGTTAGGTTTTAAAAACCGCGAGCTGAACTTTTGTTTGTTCGTTGAATTTCTTTTGATCGACAATTCTATGGAGTCTATCGGATATTTCAACGGATCAGCTTTTTGTAAAGTCCGACGCAATCGCATTTCGACGAGCCTTTTTGAATAGTTGAAAATAGTCTCAACGAAAAAAAAAGCTTTTCGACTGGTTGGTTAGCATGGCGGGGGCATGAAATTTATTCACCACGTACTCTATTTCTAATATTAAAAACAAAAATTAAAACAGTCATATTATAAACGTATTATCTCGCAATATTGTTCTTAATTGTGATATTCATAAGAAAAAAGATATAATAAGATTAAGTGCGTACTTTTAATAAAAGAAGACTGGTAAGCCTTTGGTAACTTGATGGAAGGTAAAATACCTTAGCCACATACTGTCTAAGTAAGATGCGCTTTGATCTATTATGGTTTAGGGGCGCAGAAATCTACAGACTGAATTCGAAACGCGATTACACTACCCCCTTATTCATCTGAATCTGTTTTCTTGAACCGTTGAGTGTTAGCCCCATACAATGCTAGCATTAGACCAATGATCTCGCCCTTCTATGTGGTAAACAAATAAAACCTAAACCTTTCATTTTTAAGTATTGTCTAGATTTAAAGTTTAGTTCGCGTTTAAACCATCTCATTTTTATTTAAATACAGCCCCATACTGCAGTAGCGACACTGACAGCATGCCAGTGTATATTTTTACAGGCGTTATTACTTTAAAGCAAACAAAACCCAAAAATAACGATTCTATGAATACACCATCCGTTTCACCCGAGAGCGAGCGAGATGGAAATAATCAACAGTTCGTAGTCTTCCAAAAATATCGTTTGTCCCTTTCCCTCTCTACTGGAGAAAGTGAAATGAGAATAGCTTTCCGTGAATAGTTGAGGCAGGCAATACCTTTTTTCTTTCAAATTGAATACACGTTTCAAAAAATGGAATCTCTATATAAAAATTGCTTTGTCCTGCATGACTGACTGATCAATTCATAGTGTAAAACGCCAAATTGAGACATAACTAGGTTTTGCTGCAACTTTAGTACTTATCGAGATCTTCCGAGCTACCCCAAGTTAGTAGAAAAAGTAGGGTAAAGTTTGTATAGCTCAACGCGATTTTCATAATCCAATAAACGCAAAATTTGCACAGTATTAGCCAGAAACGTGTTTAACATTTTTCTCGCAAATTTTATGATTTATGATAAAAAGAGATAAAACTAAAAAACAATAACTGGTAACCCTATGAGTTTAAAACCATACCCTTTTTTACGCTTAAGCAAACTAGAAGTAGTATTAAAGCGTAACGCGTGGGAAGAAATTATATATTCGACTTCCTTTTGTGTTAAAAGCCGTGGATATTTTTTGTAAATCACTGAAGCGAGTTTGATACCTTTATTTCTTAATCGGGTATTTTTTTCTTAAAAGCGCTTAATTCCACAGATAATAATTTTAGGCATGGCAACCTTTATGTACTTATCTACGGTCGTGTAAATCCTTGCTTTGTTGCAATTAATATTACAAATCTGTGATACCCGATTTGTTAATTGAACTTTGAGTAATACTATTTTTATATTATAGTGGGTAGGTACTACTGTTGTAACTTTTGCACAAGACAGTAATTAATTACTAACAGACTGCATTTCATTAGCTAGACAACAAAATGAGGTTTATAGAATTACTGTCTGAGAAACAAAATAGGGACGTACATAACATGATTTTTTTATTTATCGCAGTTGTTTATAATTATCACACGCATTAAAAAGATACTACGACATTGCTTCTGAAACTTAAAATGAGATTATTTTGAATTTTCACCGGTTCACACCATCGTCGAAATTTGATTCCGTAGATTTTAAAAGTGTAATAGGTGTTACCTATATTGTCCGATCATCTTTATGTCATGTTCCTATTATGCCCTATAATGTTCACAGAGTATCCGATATCTGATAATGAAATAAAAACTACCTTATGCCCATTAGCTGACCAGGTAATACATTGTCGTAATTGAATAATAGCACAGATAATACTGATAAGTCAGCGTTCTAACGATAATCTTGCACAATGTAATGCGATTTGCAAATTTTCGTCTGTCAAAGCAAAATTATTCATGTCATTGTCTGTAGGTATAGAAATTGCGAGCGTGTCTACGCTTACGTGAGCAGGCCTCAGGCTGTTTCATAATAATTCGTAACATATAAGACCTACTTTTGAGACTGAGATTAGAATGACAAGCGCAACAAGTAATCTTTTTGTTCCGTCAGCGATTAAAAGTAAAAATAACTGTCAATGTCACCTCATGTGACATCTTTCATGTT